TGGCGAAAAGGGAAGAAGTAAGGTTGGAAAACTACAAGGGAAAGAACCCTATGTCAAGGTCACAATGGCGCAGGCAACAAAGAGTTCGAAAAGCTGAGAGAGAAGCTATGTTAGACAAAGGAGTGGTTTCGAGCAAGGACAAAGAGGAATCGAGTACCAACAAACCTGCACCAAACAATCAACCAGGGGGAAAACCTCTAGTTAGCAGGAAACTTTTCTCTGAAACAAAGCAAAACGAATCGAAGGAATATACGCCAGGTCCAGAGGAGGATGAGGATATGCTGACTGACAATTTCGAATCAGAAGGGGAATCTTCACTCAACATCAACTGCAATGTAGTATCTGTGTTGCCTTGCGAATTTGGGCAAGAGACTGAAGTCGGAGAGCACGAGGAGGATGATGCAATAGACTTGATGAAACATAGGCCAGTATGCTATTATGTGATGGATAATGGGGCTGTCGAAGAGAAGAATGCCTTCTTCGAGTACCCAGAACCAGCCATGCAAAATCACCTAAAGCCATTGTTCATTCGAGCAAAAGTTGGTACACCTGGCGTAGGTATAACAGGGACAATTTATACTATTATAGAAAATAAGTTCAAAGAAGAGACAGAGGCATGCATGCAGGTATGTGTTTGAAGGTGTTTTTAGGCCCTCTTTTTGAAGTCAAAATTCAACAATATATTGCTTGCTATATGTGTGCAACTGAATTTTTAATTAATTTATTGAAGTCGGGGGTTTATTTTAAAAAATCATTTTATTTTTTATTTTTAAAAAATATTTATATTAAAAGATATTTGTCTTTTAACTTTTAAGTAAACCATATTGAATATGAAATACCACATTACTAAAAATAAATAAAAAACTTAGATATAAATGAAGTTCGTCTATAAAACACGAAATTTTCTAACACTAAAATACTAAGAGATGGATTAAAGAAAAATTTAATTTTGTTATTGATTTTTTTCTGCTAAATTATCAGGAAAATTTTATTTTTCCCCTTTGATAGGAGACATGATCCATCTATTTTAATTTAGGCCAAAGATGAACAGACACTAGAGGTGCATCTGATGAAGGTTGACTGGTCCATGTACGCTATCGTAAGAAAAGAATTTGTAGGATCCTTGACATGTGCCTCTTGAGACAATTGTCTCTAAAGAAGATTCTAAGACCTTTAAATCATATAAATAGGCTATAAAATATACAGAATATTTCAGATCAAGTACACATTATTCAAAAACTCTAAATCTCGCACTTATATCTGTCGTTGACTTGATCGTTATAATGTTTACAGTACACTCTCACCATCGAATGATATGGAGAGAGGTTCTTTCACATGAGATGAAGAACTTACCAAGTGATTTTTTTCAACAAAGTAACAAATTTCCACGTTTCCTTATTGGTGAAAGTCATTATTATTGAGAATCAAGTGTGAGGAAGAAGTCCCACATTGATTATAAAAAGGGAAGATTGAGCACTTTATAAGTGAGAACACCCACTCATCTATCACCTTAAGGTTTTAGATGGACAAGTGGTGTGTCTCTCACAAAGGTGTGTCCCAAGTAAAATGCTCTCTCCTCGGAATTGCACCTACAGTGGTATCATGAGCCTTTGGTTTCGAGATACAAGTGTATGTGGAAGAGAGTCATTCCACATGAGGGGGAGCATTGTGACTCACACTTGAGGGGGAGTGTTGAGAATCAAGTGTGAGGAATAAGTCTCACATTGATTATAAAAAGGACCCACTCATCTATCACCTTAAGGTTTTAGATGGACAAGTGGTGTGTCTCTCACAAAGGTGTGTCCCAAGTAAAATGCTCTCTCCTCGGAATTGCACCTACAATTATGTCGGGATCCAATATCTTCCACATAGTGGTAGACAAAGGGAGTTCATGAAACGTACAAGGAGATACTGATTACCATGCAGCTCACTTGACTCTTGTAAATCTATCGTAATGGCAACTTCTAAGATTTTGACAAATCTAGCAACAAGTATTGGTAATAAACATCAAATATCTATACATTTGCATAATCAGAAGATCTACGATGAAAAATTAAGTGTGATATCATCAATGATTCATTTGAAGTTAAACTACCACGTAAGTAATAGTTAGGTGGTGTTAATTAGTGGTGATTTACAAGCGTCTTTCATTTATTTTCTCGGGTTACTAGAGAAATATATGTTGGACATATGACTCCACACATACTAGAGTGGGGTAATTGTGAAGATTTGAAGAATAATGGTTTGAAACATTATTATTTGAGTAAAATATAATTTTAGTCCTATAAATTACTAAATTTTGTTTTTGGTCGCTATAAAAAAAACTGAAATGTTTTAGTCATTACAAAATTATTATACACTTAGTTTTAGTCTCTTTTGTTAAACCGATATATATTTTTAAATGATTATTTTGCAGACATGTTTAAAACATTATAAAAAGTTCCTAAAAAAAAGAACTCAAAATTTGATTTCTAAGTAGAGATTTTCATTGCTTTTATCAATATCTTTTGAAATTTAGAAAAATCATATTTAATTCTTCTCATTTTAAAAAATTTTAAAATTTGGTAAATAAATATTTTATAGTATTCTAAACACTTATGAAAAAATTATTCAAAAATTTAAAAATTTAAGAGTAATTAAACAGTTTTAAAAATTTTAGAAAATAACAGAGACTAAAGATGCATGACTAAAAATTTTGTAGAGACCAAAAAATGTCATTTTTTTAATAGTGACTAAAAATGAAATTTAAGATATTTATAGATACCAAAAATATATTTAACCCTTTTTATATTTATTTTCAGAGTTTAAAAATACTTTTCAATAAAAAAATGTTTGATAGATAGTAGTGGAATGAATATGCAAAAAATAAAGAGATAAAGATACGAAGATGACGTCAGAAATTATACAGATTCAGTCAAAATAAAAGTGACCTATTCTTTTTCCTAATACTTGATCTTGAAAGTATCTAGTAATATTTATGAGATTATAGTAAGTTAAAATCATGAATCCATTATACAAGGAAAAATGAAGTTTCAGACTATATATCTTCCAACCAAACAAAGAACATCGGACTGAAGTGGTTAGTGTTTCTTTCAAACATAAATTTTAAACGGTTAATCCCTAAATTAAACCGAGATTTTATACAGACATATCTTAAACCAAGATTTAATGTCTGAGTCGTCAAACCCTTAAACCATATAAATACTATTGTAAATATTGTTGAAGCTTTTTAATAACTATGCATACATAATATCACAAGAACTTCTCTAAAAGACTAGTAACTGTGACATATCGATAACCTTACCAGTAAAGGGACGTGGTGAATTAGCATGCAATTGATAAATTCCTCATTGAAGAAGAAAAAGATGATACACTTTTCGGCATCGACTTGTCTCTTAATATGGTAGTTTCCTTTTGGTTCCTCTTGATGGAACACCTTGTTTTTTGTAGAAGGTTTGGAAAAACCTCACAGACGGGAAAATAATGACGATTGCTAAGACATACAAAGTGTTCCCACACCTCAAGCTATGGTGTGGATATATCGTCCCGTTGGTTGAATGTTCCCCAAAAAAACAGGGTTTCAAGAGGACAATTTTTATCTTCTTCCTTTATTGCTTTTACCATTTTACGTGGTTGTTCAATTTGAAAATCTTCCTTGTCCATCCATAGACATTTTCTAAAATATTCTTTAAGGAACTATTGAAGTCTTCCTTAGACAATCATTCTCCAACAATCACGCAACTAAAATTCTCCATTGAAATAAAATATAGTGGAAACATTAAAGGACGAGTCCCAAATAAAAAATCAAATGATACATATTTCAACCTTCCTTTCCAAGGATTTTTTGTTCGTTGAAGATCAAATAGTGAATCTTGGAGGATTGTTAATCCGATGTAGCATGAGGGTACTCTAATATTCAAGTCAATGAAAAATATAAAGTTTCTATATTAGAATTGGGTGTACTTGAGATGAATATGTCAACTTATTTTTATATCAAATCCCCTAAAACTCAGAGACCATACAACTTTCATAGAGTCACATGTCTTCAAAGACATTTGTGAGTATATCAAATGACGTTGTCATCCAATAGTCCATAACGGATGAACAACTTTTTCTATGTCTTTAGGAAAAAAAGTTCTTTTTGAAATCGCTCAACTTCTTTTGGACTCAGGTCACCTGAATCTTAATTGGTTTAGCATCAACCCATACCGAAACACAAACAATTTCTATATCGTTATTTAAATATCAACAGTAAAGTAGTCGTATTGTACTTGCATTACAACAGGGTGGCTAAAAGAGAAAGAAAAATATAGTTGGAATGGAAAGGAAAAAAAAACAAAAAGGAAATGTACTACAAAAAATAAAAATAACAATGGCTGAGTTGGCCAAAAACTGTATCATAAAACAAATAGAAAGAAAAGTAAGATTTAACTTGAGAAGAAAGCTATAGCAAAAAAGCATAGAGAGTAGAGAATAAGAAGATGATGTCATGAAGAGCTATTAATCCACATTCCCTTTGCAATCTTCATCACCCTACCACTAACATATCTAGCTTGTCCTAAACATCAAATCGTGAAGCAAAAGGCAACAACACCCCCACTCCCACTCCCAACATCTCCACCATGTGCTTTACGCTATATACATATATATGGTATGGTCGACATTTCTTAACTTACAATTGCATTTCCAAAAATAGCAAAAACTTTTGAACCACATGCAACAAACACACTTAGCTCAGAAAAATGGAAGACTTTAAGTGCACCATTATGTTTATAGCATTTGAGCTTGGTGAACATGGTGGGGACAGATTGGAGTTGAAGGAAGATAAAAGTACTATTCATCAGCACTTTGTAGCAAGTGGAGTAGTGGCGAGTAATGCAAACTAGATAGTAATTAGTAACTAACTAGTGCAATGCGAAGAATATATATAAAGGGTGGTGTGCAGCAATTGTGATATATTCGTTGTTTGGAATTGGAAGTGCTTAGTGATTAGGCAAGAGATGGGGATTATGATGAGGAGAGTAGTATTTGGGGTGGTTCTGGTTGTTGTGGTGATGATTTTGAGTCCTTGTTTGGCTAATGGGAGAAGCAGTTTTCATGAGAAGACTAGGGATGGCAATGGTATCAACTCTACCGATGGAGTTTCTCTTGGAGAGCAAAGTGTTGAGGAAGATTTTGGTGGAAGAAAGAAAGATTTTTCATCTGAAAATGTAGTAGTTGAAAGGAAATTTAGTGTGAACAATAGCGGAAAAGGTGGTGGTGGAAATAGCGGGAGCAGAAAGGGGAGAGGTGGAGGTGGTGGCGGAGGAGGAGGAGGTGGTGGAGGTGGAGGTGGAGGAAATGAACAAGGTCATGGATGGGGATGGGGAAGTGGCGGAGGAGGCGGTGGTGGTGGTGGTAGAGGAGGAAATGGTAATGGTAATGGTCATGGAATAGGTGGAGGAAGTGGAGGAGGCGGTGGTGGTGGTGGAGGTGGAGGAGGAAATGGTCATGGTCATGGAATAGGTGGAGGAAGTGGAGGAGGAGGTGGTGGTGGAGGTGGTGGTGGTGGTGGTGGAGGAGGTGGAGGAGGAGGTGGAGGTGGAGGAGGGGGTGGTGGTGGTGAAGGTTGGGGTTGGGGTGGAGGGAGTGGATGATCGTGCGCATGGATGAGCAAGGAAAATAAGAAATGTTTATTTGTATGAGTCTTTTTTAACTTTACGTTTGTGTTCTCACAATCTCTTTTGAATGGTGTTCCCCGTTTTCAAAAGGCAAATAATTGTTCACGTTTTTCATTATATTAATAGATAAAACTTATTTGTCTTACATTTTTTTTTTTGCGCGTGGTATATCTTACATTTAATTATTGTGAAAACAAAATGTATTTGAGATACAATCGCTTATGTTATTAATATGCAAATTTTTTTATATTTTATGTCATAATAAAATATATATGATTTATTTGTTTTGTGTTGTTATTAATTAATCCATACATCTAAAAACATTAGGATGAAATGAAAAAGATTTTTTTTTCAATTTATAAAAAAATTAAATAATTCATACATTACCAAAAGAAATATTAATGTATGCTCTATTGAAAATGGTCATGCTATATTAAAAAATGTCTTAAATAGAAATTGTGTATCCTCTTAAAAGATAGAAAATGAAATAGCGAAATTCTTATTTATGAGTAAAAGTTGGTGAAATTTAGACTATTCATTGTAAAATTAGAAGGAATTTACTTTTAATGACTTATATCAATAAAATTTTATTATATAAAATTAAGTTTTAAAATTACATATTGATCCTAATTCTTAAGATATTGGATTTAATGTTTTTTCTCACTTATTTACACTTGACATATCAACATTTTATTATTCAAAAATTAAATTATATACTATTTTTTTGATTTGATTTTAATCCTATAAGATTTTAGATTAATATATAATTTTAAAAATTTATTTTATATGATAAAATTTGATTGATACATGTCATAGCTAATAAATTACTCCTAAATTTATAAAAGGACGATAAAAAATTTACCGTAAAAATTTGATATAATTATTCATTAGATTACATTAAAAAAATTCTAAAATTTAAATAATTTAATAAATAATTAAATATTTAATACTTTAACTAATTTGATCTCATATATCTTATTTTAAAGACACCTTTAATTTTTGTATAAAACTATTAGAGATGTTTTAACTCTCCTAAAGATGACTCACTATTAAAGATGTTTCAACTATCCAAATATGATGATCAATATGTTAGAGAGAGGAGATGACTCATTATTGAAGATGTTTCAACTATCCAAATATGATCATCAACAAATATGTTGGAGAGAGGGAGTTTATAACTCTGTAAAAATGCATCATTGACATCCAATTAGTGAATGAACCAATTGTTAATGGTTGTCAATGCAATGATCATTCTGACTGTGGTCATTTTAGCTATAGGAGAATAAGTATCGAAATAGTCCAGTCCCTCAATTTAGTTGTACCCTTTAGCCACCAATCGAGCTTAGAATCTCTCTACTGATCCATCTGCATGGAACTTGATTTTGTATATCCACCTACATATAATTAGCTTGATGTTTGGTGGTTCATAAACAATTTACCAAGTGCTTGTTCTTTGATTCATAAAGAGTGTTGATGGACATGATAAGATCACTACGCCAAAAACTGCTTTTTGCAGCGCCTCTACTAAAGCGCTTATTGAAAAAGCGCTGCCATAGCCTTCACAAAAAACAAAATTAAAAAAAAGGGAAACCTACGAAGGCGCTTTTTAAAAAGCGCTGGCATAGGGTTCCCTACGAAAGCGCTTTTCAGGAAGCGCTTTCATAGGTATTTGAAATATCTAACCTACGAAAGCGCTTTTGAAAAGCGCTCTTATAGGTGGCCCTATAAAAGCGCTTTTGAAAAGCGCTTTGAAAGGGGGACCTACGAAAGCGCTTTTTACCTCAGAAGCGCTCTCATATGGGGGGCATACGAAAGCGCTTTTAAAAGCGCTTTCGTAGGTTGTTTTTATAATAAAATTAAAAATCCCTAAATCTGTTCTTTAGTCTTCTTCATTTCTTTCGTTCAGATCTTCTTCATTTCTTCGTTCGTCTTAAGCTTCCTCATTTCTGCCGTCGCCGCCGTTCGTTCCTTCCTCTTCAGTCGTCGTCGCCGCCGTTCGTTCCTTCCTCGTCGTCGTCGCCACAATAAGGTAAAATATTACTCTATCATTATAGTCATAACACTATCTGCAACTACATATAGTGAATCTCATATTCAGAACACTGAATTGAATCATTTGTTACTTCTCCTTTTCTGATATTCCACTCAGGGTTCAGTCATGAACTGATTTATAGTTTTAATTTTTAAATAATGATAACTTTTTTTTTTGTATGTTCTTGTGCATGAGTGCCTATCAGATGAGGGTAACTTGACATACTTGATTGATTATCATAGCCTATCAGATGAGGGTAACTTGACATACTTGATTGATTATCATATGCATTAGAGACACTGTTTTATTTTACATGGTAATCTATAAGGCTGTGTATTTGCTCCTATTTATTTCGGTTTTGTTATTATTGTTAATGTGTCTTAGTTTTACATAGTAAGAACAATGATTCCACTATAAGACCATAAGTACTAACCTTATGTGAAACTTTTGTTGTTGATGTGTATATGTTTCGATTCCTAATCATGACATGTTTATTCTGTGCAAATGTTTCTTTAATGAAAATGATCTTTACAGTGTTTTTCTAATATAGGATCATTCCATCTGTCTAGATCAAGAAAGTAGTTCTTAGCTTTCATTTTGCTGGCTGGCAAAATCTCATGAATATTCATTTTCTGTTTGCTGGCTTCCCATGCTTTTGACTTCTTCTGCATGTGTCATTGATTTTATGTAACAACAAGTTCATATCCAGACAGGTTTTGGCTTGGAAGAAATTTTGCGCAAATATATTCGATATGCTCTGAACGAGAAACCATTCAATCCTGATGTTGTAGCTGATTTAATTCAGCTAAGAAGAGCTTCTGCATTAAATGACTCACAAGTTGCTGAGATTCTAAATGAAATTTCACGAAGAATTGTGAGAGACAAAGGTAATGTCTTCTTAATATTGGACAGTTTTCATTTGAGTAATCCTTGTACGTGGTAGTTTATTTTGGCCAAGGCTGTTAGAAAAGTATTCCGATGAACTGCGGTGATGAGTGAATATGATTATTTTTATCTGGTTTGCTCCTTATATTGATAAAGTTTTAATATATGGGTCTAAGGTGTCAAGTTCAAATGCTCATGTCTTTTTGGTAGAATTTGTGACATATAGCTTCAAACCTATGATTCTACAAATTACCCAAACAATTTAATTCACCATCACTAGCCTGACCTAAACCTCAAGTAAAATGGCTTTAAAATTCAGGAAGTGCAATGAAAAATACCATTCGTAAGTATTTTCAGGGGAAAGTAGTTCCTTTGGGTAACATAGAAGGGTCTTGGTCATATATGGTTTTGTTTATGCCATTGTTTTGGTTTTTTTAGCACAGACTCCGACACGGACACCGTGACATGGACACGGACACTCCAACACGAACACCGCGACACATGTAACACCCCGTTTTCAATTAATTGATTTATTTAAATTTGGGAATTTATTTTATTTGAATTAATAAAATAAAAAGAATTATTTATTTTGGAGTATTTGAGGAAAATAAAAGAAATAAGGAATAATGGGATTTTTATGTTATTGGGCTTAGATGATTGTTAGTAAAGAGTGGGGGTGCAGAGAAATAAAGTTATGTTTGGGACTTAGGCCATTTTCTCATTTTTGGTTTTCACGTAAGAACAGAAGTTGGAATTTGGGAAAATAGAGCTCCGAAGGTGCGAGGAACGGAGAACGAAGAACACCGCCCAAGAACTCAAAGCCGCTAATTGATAAAGTAAGGGGGGTTTATACTCGATTTATAATTGTTTATGGGTTTATGTACGGTTGATTCGGGTAATCGTAGGAAATCCCAATTGTTAGATGTTTCTAGGGATCGATAACCGTAGGGCTGAACCTTGTTAGAAAAGGGGTTAGGTTCCCAATTTTATGAATCGATTAGGAGTTTTAAGTCCCAAATGGTGAATTGGGAGTATATCTAATGATCGTGAATTTACCTTGGAAGTTATAGGGATAACCTCAGTGTCAGTAGATTTCCCCAAAAGGACGGTTAATCCCCGATTAAAGTTATTATAATAATTGTTGGCAACTTGGATATTGTGGTGTTGTTGTGAATTGTACAAACTCGATGCGTTAGGTACTGAAATGCGCGTTTTGGCGGACGTTTTCCCGCGTTTGGGCTGCTGTTTCTGAGCTGCTGCAGGTTCAGGAAAATCCTGTACGCGCTCAGCAACACGGGCCGTGTTGCACAACACGGGTGCCCGTGTTGCTCCTCTGAGTTGGAAGGGGTCTGCTTCTGGTTGCACGACACGGGCCGTGTTGCACAACACGGGTGCCCGTGTCAGAGCCCCTGTACTGATAAAATAAAATGTGCGTTTTCTGGACGTGCTGCACAACACGGGCCGTGTTGCACAACACGGGTGCCCGTGTTGCTCTGCTGTGATGATTTTCTGAATTTTGATTTCAGTGTTTTGATGTTGGATTTTTATTGCCATGCTTTTAGATATGTTATCGAGCATGAATTATGATATAATTGATGTGATTGGTTGATGTTTGAATAGTATGCTGAGTGATTACATGCTATTCGTAACTTGATATGATTGATGTTTAAATAGTATGCTGAGTGATTACATGCTATTCATATCATGTTATGTTTGATATTGTTGATGTGCATGATATGTTGATCGATGTTCATAGTATGCTGAGTGTTACATACTTACATATCATGTTGCATTTGTTAATTCCCATTGTGTGGAATTAACATGGTGGCCAATATACGTGTCCGCGATTTAATGGAACGTTGAGGTGGTAGCCGTGTCCGCGATATAATGGAACGGTGAGTTATCCGTGACCCGCGATTTAATGGGGCGGTGAAGTGGTACCACATGCATGGGTGTGTTGCATTAACTTGAATATAACATGAATGGATGATTTTTCCAATGTTATATTTGATTGTTTGTATGCACGTGTGATTGATAAATGGTTGATGATGTTTGATGAATATGTGTAAATTATGAAATATGCTAATTATTGGGTGATGCTTATGATTTCGTGAATTGATCGTTATGAATGTATAACCAAATGTAAATTTGAGAAGCTCACCCTTACTGTTGAATATTTCAGATTAAGGAGCTTCGTTCAGGTGCTTGGCGAAGGCTTATCGTGTCTAGTTTAGTTTCGTTTTAGTATGTCCGGGTCATGCTCTGATAGTTGTAACTCCGGGAACTTTGGTTGTCGAGCTGCTTTAGTCAGACTCGTTTATTCCTCTTTGTTTGCTATAATATGATGTTGACTTTCCAGGTGTTAATCCCTGATGAATTGGAAATTATTATAACATTTGATTTTATTAAATAAATTATTCCGCTGTGTAAACATGTATGAGTTACTACTAAAATTATGCATGACAGGAATTTATTTTATTAAAAGAGAATTGTAGCATTCCTCGATTTTTACATGTACTCTGAGTTTATAATTTCAATTAATCGCGAAAAATTATTCGGGGTTTTAGAGGGTGTTACAATAGTGGTATCAGAGCATAGTCGGTCGTTGTGACCAGAGTCTTGAGTCAGTCATTCCTTTTCGTATGCGACTAGTGCAAGGTAACACTGTCGATACTGTATTCTGATGTGGAGTATGTTTTAATTCTCAGGAATATGGCTGGAAGAGGTAATGGACGAAACGATGCTGCACTAGCTGAGGCTTTGGGGATGTTAGCTGGTGTACTTGCTGGAAACCCAACTGGAGGCGTGATTGGTGCTGATAGGCAATTGGGAAATTTCCAAAGGAACAATCCTCCGTTGTTCAAAGGTACACATGACCCTGAAGGTGCTCAGAAGTGGCTGAAGGAAATCGAAAGGATTTTCCGTGTGATCGATTGTGCTGAAGATCTGAAAGTCAGATATGGTACGCATATGTTGGCAGAAGAGGCCGACGACTGGTGGGTTGCCACAAGGACTGAAATGGTTCAGGATGGAGAGGCACTGACTTGGGCTAACTTCAGAAGGGCTTTTCTGAGGAGGTACTTTCCTGAAGATGTTCGGGGAAGAAAGGAAATTGAATTTTTGGAGCTTAAGCAGGGCAATCTGACTGTTAGTGAGTATGCTACTAAGTTCACTGAGCTGGCAAAGTATTATGCTCACTACAACAATGATGAGGCTGGAGAATTCTCTAAGTGTATCAAATTTGAGAATGGTCTCCGAGATGAGATTAAGCAGGGAATCAGGTACCAGCGTATTCGTAGATTTTCTGATCTGGTGGATTGTAGCAGGATCTTGGAAGAAGATATTACCAAGAATGGGTCGTCTCACTCTCGTGGAGCTGTTGACAAAAGAGGAAAGCAACATATGGACCGTGGCAAGCCATATGGTAGAGATAACCAGAGATCAGGCGGTTGGAAAAGGCCTAGTGGGGGAGATTCTAAGGCTCCTATCAGATGCTACAGGTGTGGTGAGTCTGGTCATCACATTCGAGATTGCAAGAGTGATGAGAAGAAGTGCTATAAATGTGGAAAGGCTGGTCATTTGTCTATTGATTGCAAAGGGAAGTCTGTTACTTGTTACAATTGTGGCGAAGAAGGTCACATTCGTCCGCAGTGTCCTAAGCCTAGGAAGGATCAGTCAGGTGGAAAAGTGTTCGCTTTGTCTGGATCTGAGACTACTCCAGAGGATCGATTGATAAAAGGTACGTGTTTTATTCATGGCACACCTTTAGTTGCAATTATTGATACTGGTGCAACTCATTCTTTCATTTCTTTGGATTGTGCTGAGAGGTTGAAACTGGACATATCTGGTATGCGAGGTAGCATGGTTGTTGATACTCCTGCATCGGGTTCAGTGACAACTTCACTTGTATGTAGGAATTGTCCTATTGAGATTTTTGGTAGAGGTTTCGGTATGGATTTAGTGTGCCTACCGCTTGAACAAATTGATATTATCCTTGGGATGAACTGGTTGGAATTCAACCGGGTTCATCTGAACTGTTTTGCTAAGACGGTGATTTTTCCAGAAGCAGTTGGTGTCGAGAATTTGACTATGACTGCTAGGCAGGTACAAGAAGCAATGGAAGGCGGTGCTAATGTGTTTATGTTACTTGCTTCGTTAGATGCGACAGGAAAGGTCAGGAGTAGTGAATTGCCAGTGGTGTGTGATTTTCCAGAAGTCTTTCCGGATGATGTTGGCGAGTTACCTCCTGAGAGAGAAGTGGAATTTTCTATAGATTTAATTCCTGGTACGAGACCGGTGTCGATGGCGCCATATCGTATGTCTGCATCTGAGTTGGCTGAATTGAAGAGTCAGTTGGAAGATTTACTGGAGAAGAAGTTTATTCGTCCAAGTGTTTCGCCTTGGGGTGCTCCGGTATTGTTGGTTAAGAAGAAAGAAGGTTCTATGAGACTGTGTGTTGATTACAGGCAATTGAACAAGGTAACCATTAAGAATCGGTATCCGTTACCGAGGATTGATGATTTGATGGATCAGTTAATTGGAGCCAGTGTATTCAGTAAGATTGATTTGAGATCTGGATATCATCAGATTCGTGTGAAAGCGGAAGATATTCAAAAGACTGCTTTTCGAACGAGGTATGGACATTATGAATATTCTGTTATGCCGTTCGGAGTTACTAATGCACCTGGTGTTTTCATGGAATATATGAACAGGATTTTTCATCCGTATCTGGATAAGTTTGTTGTGGTTTTTATTGACGACATTCTGATTTATTCCAAGAATGACAAAGAGCATGCGGAACATCTCAGAATTGTGTTAGAGTTGTTGAAAGATAGGAAGTTGTATGCAAAGTTGTCCAAATGTGAGTTCTGGCTGAATGAAGTTAGTTTTCTTGGACATGTGATTTCTAAGAACGGTATTGCAGTGGACCCTACAAAAGTAGAAGCGGTATCTCAGTGGGAAGCACCGAAGACTGTTTCTGAAATCAGAAGTTTTCTTGGTCTTGCAGGTTATTACAGAAAATTTATCGAAGGATTCTCAAAGTTAGCATTGCCGTTG